GTACTGGCCCCGAATATATTTGCTTAATGCTACCATATCCCCTTTGAAGCGCCGTTTTTCCAAACTAAAGAAATTTTAAAATTTTTAAACCTTTCTTCATAACTAAAATGCTCCATTCCTTTAATTTTGTAGGTCGTCTCTGCACTTTTTCTAGTGCCAATATATCCTTCTTTAGAACAGGTGCCAAAAATTGCACAGCATATTCAATGTGTGGTCGTACCAGCGATTTATAAAGAGGCAAAATTATATTTTTATTCTGAAAATGTATGCCCACATTTATACATGCAAAAACTTACTGGCTTTAGCATCTGCTGATTGACATTGCATATTGCTGCCTAATTTGTTGTCTATAACAATTCCCAAATCCTTCTCGTCGGTTGTTAATTCACTACCATTTAGGGTGTAAGTTTCTTGTGCATTCTTTACCCTGAAGTGCAATTCTCTACAATATATTTCATCTGCGATTTTAGTGCCCAGTCCCCCAATCTATCTAAATCCCTTTGCAGCAAAACAATATCCTACTCACATTTTATTACTTTACAAAGTTTTGTGTCTTCTGCAAACACTAATACATGGCTTTCAATGCCTGTTCAAAGATAATTTATAAATATGTTAAATAGAAGTGGTTCCAAAACAGAAGCCTGAGGGACACCACTTACCACTTTTGTCCATCTTGAAAATATACCATCAATGACAACACGTTATAGTCTATCCTTAAGCCAATGTTCTACCCAAGAACAAGAATATTCATCTAGACCAATTTCTTGTAGTTTGAACACTAAGCTATTGTGAAGAACCGTATCAAATGCCTTGGCAAAATCCAAGTAGATCACATCTACTGCAACACCTTGATTTATACTTCTACGTACTTCTTTGTAGAATGCAATTAGGTTAGTTTAACATGACCTATGTTTCATAAAACCATGCCTATTATTGCTAATAACAAAGTTCTTCCCAATGAATTCCTGAATATTATCCCTTTATAACCCTTCAAAAACTTTCCCAGTCACAGAAGTTAAGCTCACAGGTCTATAATTTCAAGGCATGGATTTTAAACCCTTCTTAAATACAGGAAGGACATCTGCCTTGCTCCAATCCTCTGGTGCAATTTCTGAAACAAAACAATCTGGAGAGATTAAATGCAGGGGTTCACTTATTTCCACACTTAGCTCCTTAAGTACTTGTGGGTGAATACCATCAGGCCCCAGAGCTTTATTTACATACATTTTTTTTAACTGCTGTAGCACCTTGTCTTGAGTCATCCAATCACAAGTTATCTACAAGTTTTTTGCAGCAATCATTTGCATATCTCTTGCCACAGGATCCTCATTAATATATACTGAAGAAAAATAGTTATTTTAAATTTCAACCTTTTCCTGCTCTTCCTTTACTAACAGACCCATCTCTGTTTCCAGTGTACCTACACTTTAATTTTTTTGTTTTATTAGAATTGATGTACTTGAAAAAATTTTGGGGGTTGGTTTTGCTTTCTTTGACTAGCAAATTCTCGTTTTCTAATTTAGTCACTTTAATCGCCTTTTTGCAAACATTATTGGCTTCCTTATATCTTATATAGGATGCCTCTGATTTATCTGATTTAAATGCTTTGAATGCCCTTTTCTTTTTTTTAATCTCTTATTTTACTTCTCTACCAAGCCACATTGGTTTTAATTTGTTTCTTTTATATTTATTACCCAATGGTACATACTGAGAAATGTACCTTTCTAATATTTGTTTGAATAGTTTCCATCTATCCTCAGTGTTTTTTTCACTAAGGAGTGTATGCCAGTCGATATACTGTAGAGCTGTCCTAATCTTATTGAAATTCGCTTTTTTTAAATTATACGTTTTTGTATACCCCACATGCTTTAGCTTTTTTGAGTTCATTTAAAAAATTACCATATTCTGATCACAATTTCCCAAATGCTCCCCTATTTGAATGTTGGTCAAAAGATCAACATTGTTTGTTATAACGAGATCCAGACAAGCATCCTTTCTAGTTGGTGCTTGTACCAGTTGTGACATAAAGGTGGAATTTAACACATTCAAAAACCTGATTCCCCTTGCTGAAGTACTAGTCACTCTATCCCAATTTATGTCCGGGTAATTAAAATCTCCAATAATTAACGAGTTACCCCGATTTGCAACTTTCCCAATTTGCTCTAAAAGCTGTTCTTCCTCATTAATATTTACATTAGGTGGTTTATAACATATCCCAACCAATAAATGATTTCCCTTTGTTTTCCCCAAGCAGATATCTACCCATAAAGCTTCCACATTTTTGTCGTCACACTCCACATGCCTAAGAGTTAACTTTAACTCATTGTTGACATACAAACATACCCCACCACCCTTCTTGTTTTTCCTATCCTTCCTAAATAACGTGTACCCTGTCATATGTCTCATCCCACCATGTTCCATTGCTTATTTCTGTGATCTTTAATCTTTAGTAGCAAAAGTAGATGTTATGAGTATGTTTTCGAGTAAATATACATTACACAATTTTATCTTGTATCTGACCTCAACATTGTTTCATAAAAAGCAGGATATTTATTAAAAAATGATAATTTATACTTTATGTAACTCCGTTTATCAAACACAGACATCCGGTTATAACTACTGACACCATAATAAAACTGCCATTCCAAATGTCATTTAGTTGTGGAGAGATATCACATTCACATTTCTTACTATTAGTGACATATTATTATTATAGTGGGAAATGTATATTGTTTATGGAAAACATTTATATTGTAAAACATGTATAATGTTATTGTTCATTAAACAAAACACTCTCAGATAAAATATAGATATGAAAGAAAAAACTATTTATTAAAAAGTAACAAAATATAATAATAGAATGGTTTTAAAACAACATGAATGTGACACATGTATAAAATATGTTCAGGAGGCAGTATAACAGCTAAATTGATGTAAAAACAGTCCTTTAAAGTTGTCAGGAAGCATTTAGTCCATTCTCTGGATCTCCGCTCACATTGCTGTTCTGGGGCTCAGGAGGAATCCCTTCTCCATTTACTGGTGCCCGGTTCATGGTGATGGCAATGGGTCTCTCTTTAGCGGCTGGCAGTGCCAGGCAAGGAGCCTGAATATGGAGCTGTCCGTCTTCAGACAGGGAACACAGCACTTCCTCAGGATTCACATTTTCTGGGAGCTCAACTTCTCTCTTCCACTCTCTGTATTCATGGAAGTAGCTCCCATCCTCGGTGTCCCTTTTCTGGTCATGTTTTCCTGTCACAATCAGTCTCCTTCCTGCAGTTTTCACAGTCAGTTCATCAGGAGAGAAGGGACTCACATTCAGGCTGAGCTCAAAGTGCTCCTTCCCCTCTTTGTCAGTTTTGGGAGAGTCCTGCTCACTCTTTTTGTCCCCAGTCTGCCTGCTCTGTGCTAGTCTCCTTGTCATCTCCATGTCCTGAGAGAGGAGCCGATAAGCCTGGTTGACGTGTTGCATTCTCCTCTCCATCTCGTTCCTCATGCTCAGCATGTCATCTTCCAGCTGCCCAAAGATGAGCTGTGTGGCTGGCCAGAGCGTGAGTGCAGGCTCTCTGCAGACACACAGAGGAGTGTGAGAGGGCTGGAGGAGGCTGATAGGAAACATCTTCTCAGGATTTTCTCTGGAGCTTCTTGTCAGAGTTGGGCTGTAGACAATCTGTCTGTTTGTCTGTTTGTGCTGTCTTGCTTCTCAGTACTGAATGCAGTCAGAGCTGCAGCTCACTCTTATATTGATTAGTTAAAATACTGGAGAGTTCTTGAGATTTCCTGGTGCTCTCCATATATGGTAAGAAGGGGAGGGGCTGTGTACAGCGTGGATTCTGTAAGAGGTGTAGACAGAGGCAGTGCTAGCAGCTTCTAGCATTAACTAGGAAGGTGACATCACTAGTGGGCGGGTTAAAGTGTGTGTCTGTTCTGGAGACTGACAGAGAATTCGGAATGCTGTGTGTAATGTCAATATTGTACTTCAAACTAGTAATGTACAATATTACAGCACGCAGACCTGGAGAGAGGGTTAGGTAATGCTGCTGATGAGTTTATGCATGCACCCATATGGTTATATGGTTAATGATGTTCACATTTCTCCATTCTGAGATAGACATAGGCGTTTCGTTTAACCTTTTCACTGCCATAGCATTTTCTAATCTAACACACCCTACAGATCAGTTGTAACTATTTTCGTCATTCCATATAATTTGTAAAACTCTTTAGACAACTGAAAAGAAAAATCTAAATTGTTGTCTCTCACGTCAATTTGAACTCATCGTGAATACCAAAATGTTAAGACAAATTAACATAAGTTTGTGTCATTTTATAAACCAATCAGACAAGGCTGGGTTTTTAAGTTAAAGTATTATTTTCTTAATGATTAATTATATATATTTTTTTTCAATTTGCTATTTTTTATTTAAAAAAACAGTCCAAAGTCATATTAAATATATTTCAACTTCTCATAGACACCAAAATCTAAGTAAAATAAGTTAGTGACAACATATAATTGAATTAACTTACTTTTTAACGATTTAAATATTTAATGTTAAAAAAAGCAAAAGAGGTGGATACATGTTAATGAGTACTAAAGCTGAAAATAATTTTTTGTATCCCTCTCCTACTTATCTATTTGCAGGAAGGGCGTTATAATGAGTTATTCCCTTGTGGTCCACGTCAATATCCAATAATATAACTGGTGGTCCAGTGAAGGAAGCATGTGGTCTGCACCTTCAGCTGGCAGAGACCACAATATACACACTTCCAACTGGCACTAAGTGAATGAGCCTGAACGTTGCCATGGTAACCTGTCAACAATGCTCTGGTTCATTTACTGAGTGTAGGGACCGTGAGGGAGTGTTCAAAGTAGTCTACACCAGCCATAAGTGCAGACCACACTAGTTCCAGAAAGATTTGTCTGATACCTAATAGATTACCAAATAAGTGGTATAAGTAGCAGTTTATTAAATGGAAACCCTCTCCCTCTCCCGGACTAGAGTCCCTTAAATACTCAGGGTGACCAACTGTGGGGGTACATCATTACTAATATCAGCATAAGACTGAGATCCTGAGGTGGGTCTCTCTCTGACCCCGAGACCTCTCTCTGAATTGCTCACCTGAGAGGTGTAATCAACTGGAAATAAACCAGACCGATGGTAGATGGGGTAATCTAACGACCTCGTGCCGCGCCCATCTAGAATAACAGAAAGGGATGATGAGAGAAATTAACATTCTAGAATAATGGTGGAATCTACCAATGGACCGCCCAGATCCAGCGCGCGTGCGAGATCCAGGATGACCGTCGGTAGCCTGAGGAAAGCTGGAGACGTTCTCCGCAATGCACGAGAGCCCGGGAGGTCTGGGGAGGTCAAGTCAGGCCTCTCGACCACCCGAGCGTTAGGATAATTGGAAGGATCGACAACCAAGAAACGACAAATAATGTAGATGTAATGGATCACCTTCCATTAATGGACGCTTCCTAGCTTGCGCCGAGGACCACAAGCACCGCAGTGGACACCACCCACCACAGACTCCACAACCGCCGTAGCTTAACTGGAGCCTCGTCGTCTTCCATCCACCCTGGATCAGCTTCTGTCCTCCAGGACCGTGTGGGGAAGACCTCTCCTCCAGCAGAGCGTATCAGGAACAAGCTCTTAAAAGAGCTAAGTGATTAAAGGCTCAGGGGAGTATACAGAGCATAGTAATCCCCAGTGTGATGATAACAGCTCCCTCCAATAACGAGACAAGGCTACGTATTGAGGGTCAAACAGGATCTGAAGTTTAATGACACACACTCTGCTTTTATGCAATTCTCCCCTGCAAGGGAGACGCCCATGGACAATTATACATTACCCAATCACACAATGGTTACATCCCACACATCTCCTCCCCTTAGCCTGAGAGGTAACCCAATTATCCATACATTTTAAAACACACTTTTTACCCAACTTTCATAACTCTAAAACCATACATTCAATATTAATAAAAGTCACATATTATTAATCAGCACATTCCAAATACAAACATAACCAAAAATCATTAGAATCCGTTCAGTCGTTCGGGAGATACATATAAGTCACTTTTGACCGACCGCAGGCACATTTTCATGCCCTAAACAGTTCCATGGATTTGGGCTGTGCGGTCGGTCTATTTTACACCGAGAAAATGACTACGTCCCATTCGAACGACCGTTCAAATCTTCGAACGGGACTTAATCTCAAGCCGCAGTGTCGAAGTAGAGTAGAACGTACGGGTCAGCGGTGTTAGTGCAATTGGGTAGCCGAAAACAGTTCCATAGATTTGGCTGCACACACCGCTGACCGCGTTCGAATTAGTAGACAGATAGTAGATGAAGACACAGAGATGGCCTGGAGTTACAGGCACTAAGAAAATCCCACAAAGACCATAACAATACTGCCTACATAAGAAAACACATTTAACTCTCTTCTTCGCCCTGCTGTTCCTCCTCCACCTACTAACTTGACCGCCTCAGACTTTGCAACTCACTTCACTGACAAGATCTCTACAATCAGAGAAGAGATCTCTCATCTTTCTTCTTCCTCTTACAATACTTCCCCTAACTTCACTCCCAGCATTAAGAATAAAATCCCACAAGGATTATAACAATACTGCATTTATAAGACTAAAATACTGCGTATATAAGCAATAAAACCGAAAGCCACCAACTAGAAGCAGGAGGCAGTGGTACTCTGACCTGTACTCAGGCCCGGACTGGCCATCGGGCACACCGGGCAAATGCCCGGTGGGCCGCGGTGGCCATGGGCCGAGGCCGGCAGGGGAGGTCCCAGGACATCCCCTGCCGGTCTATGCAGGGCCGGCACTATCCGAGCGCCGGCCCCGCTGTCTTCCATGGAGGGCCGGTGGGGAGATCAAAGCTCTCCCTCACCGGCCCATTTAAACAGACCTGCGGCTGGGGAGAGAGGGAGAGGACCCGGCGGAGCTCTATTTTGCAGCTCCGCCGGTTCCTCTCGCGAGATCGGGAGCGTTGCCATGGCAACGCCCCGATCTTGCGAGAGTCACCATTGGACCACCAGGGATCGTGTGTGAGTGCTGGTCCCCCCCACTCACCAGCGTGCCGGACCCCTCCTCCTCCCAGGCTACAGGTAAGGGGAGGGGGGGGGGATAATGCATGATTAGTGTTTTTGTTTATTTACCCCCCTTATTTTTTTTTTATTTGTATATTTATTCCCACTTAGGTTTTTATTTGTTTATTTACCCCCTAACACACAACATTTATACACAGCACTCTCACACTCAGCACACTCAGCACTCACACACATCATACACAGCACTCACACACATCATACACAGCACTATTACGCTCAGCACTCACACACATCATACACAGCACTATTACGCTCAGCACTCACACACATCATACACAGCACTATTACACTCAGCACTCACACACATCATACACAGCACTCACACACATCATACACAGCACTATTACACTCAGCACTCACACACATCATACACAGCACTATTACACTCAGCACTCACACACATCATACACAGCACTATTACACTCAGCACTCACACACATCATACACAGCACTCACACACATCATACACAGCACTATTACACTCAGCACTCACACACATCATACACAGCACTCACACACATCATACACAGCACTATTACACTCAGCACTCACACACATCATACACAGCACTCACACACATCATACACAGCACTCACACACATCATACACAACACTCACACACATCACACTCAGCACTCACACACATCATAGACAGCACTCACACACATACATAACACTCACACACATCATACACAGCACTATTACACTCAGCACTCACACACATCATACACAGCACTCACACACATCACACTCAGCACTCACACACATCATACACAGCACTCACACACATCATACACAGCACTATTACGCTCAGCACTCACACACATCACACTCAGCACTCACACACATCACACTCAGCACTCACACACATCATACACAGCACTCACACACACATACTGCACCCCTCACATACACACACAACCCCCCGATACACTGCATCACACACATACACAATACTTCCAAACATATTTATATTATATATATATATATATATATACACACACAGCACCCCTCACACACACACACACACACACACAGCACCCCTAAACACATTTCATTCCAGACACACACTAGATCCTCTACCCAACTCTGAATCATCTACACACACTTGATCCCTATATACACTCTGAATCCGTTATATACGCACGCTCACTAGATCTCCTTTATGTAGTCTGGGTCCTTCACACACACACACACACACTCACACACTCTGGATCCCCTATAGGCACACTAGATTCCTTGTAAGCAAACCCATACATTCCCTGAACACACACACACACACACTATAGCCTGTATACACACACACACACACACACACACACACTATAGCCTGTATACACACACTTGCTACATCCCCTATAGACACATTCTCTACAGCCCCTAGCCACATATGCATTACATTACACCACAAACACAACACGACTAAAACCAACCTTATTACACAATACCACACCACGACCAGCTCACTCTGCACACACGCAATACCACAAGCAGGCTCCAAACACATGCACAATACTCTTTCCTGGCCCTTTTGTCTCCTGGTATCCATTTATAGAGACACCAGAGACAAGTTGCAAGGAAACACAGTGCAAGCATGTTATTAAATTTGCTTGCACTGCACAGAACAAATACAGGGCTTTTTTCTCATGCTAGAGCTCTTCAGCAGAGCTCTGTGCATGGTCTGCCCTGGAAGAGCATTGAACCAACATGCTCACTTTGAGAGGGCGCATGTTTGTCATGAGTGATGACAAAACACACCCTCTCTGCCCCGCCCCCTTCTTAATGGGCCGCTGTGATAAAAAAATGCCTGGGCCGAATTTTTTCCCCAGTCTGGCCCTGCCTGTACTGACTGCGGAGCAGCAAAGAAAGAGGAAATGATGCATGGGGAGGGGAGTTTTATAGTGCCTAACGTTTTTCTGATTGGTTGTTTTTCTGTGCTGCTGTGGAGTTCTAGTAAAGAGAGCCTTAAGCAATTACTAAGCCTCCTGTCATGTTATAAAATTAAAATACACTGCTCAAAAAAATAAAGGGAACACTTAAACAACACAATGTAACTCCAAGTCAATCACACTTCTGTGAACACTGTATCCATGGAACCCATTTACAAGTAGTGAGAGTTTGAGCCCAGGGCTTATTTCTGTGATTTTTTTTTTATCTTTTAGTAACAAAAGTAGATGATATGGGTATGTTTTCAAATATACATTACATGATTTTATCTTGCAGCTGACCTCAACATTGTTTCATAAAAAGCAGGATATTTATTTAAAAAATTATCATTTATACTTTATGTAACGCCGTTTATCACACACAGACATCAGGTTATAACTACCGACACCACAATAAAACTGTCATTCCAAATGTCATTTAGTTGTGGAGAGGTGTTACACTGGATTGTTTATCGACCTTTTACAGGACGGGTCCCAATGAATGTGGAATACAATGAAACCAGTCCATAAATGATAACTGAGGTCCCTTCCAAAGAGTGTTTAGTATAGGAGAGGTGGTGTTAGCAGGGGCTCTGTGTGTTCCTCTAACCTGGGCTGAGACATACCATGAGCTGAAATGAAACCATCTATTGAGGTGTGAAAGTTGTTTTGTTTGGGGTTCATGGAATAACGGTCCAAGTCATTTATGGAGTAATGTGTGATTTACCCAAATTACACTTTTACACCTTAATATTCACTTTATTATTTTAGGGTTCTTGTAGAGCGCTGCCATTTTTTTGTGTGCTGCCCATTGATATCTAAGAGATTAAGCACATTCACATTTCTTACTATTAGTGACATATTATTATTATAGTGGGAAATGTATATTTATTATGGAAATCATTTATATTGTAAAACATGTATAATGTTATTGTTCATTAAACAAAACACTCTCAGATAAAATATAGATATGAAAAAAAAAACTATTTATTAAAAAGTAACAAAATATTATAATAGAATGGTTTTAAAACAACATGAATGCGACACATGTATAAAATATGTTCAGGAGGCAGTATAACAGCTAAAATGATGTAAAAACAGTCCTTTAAAGTTGTCAGGAAGCATTTAGTCCATTCTCTGGATCTCCGCTCACACTGCTGTTCTGGGGCTCAGGAGGAATCCCCTCTCCATTTACTGGTGCCCGGTTCATGGTGATGGCAATGGGTCTCTCTTTAGCAGCTGGCAGTGCCAGGCGAGGAGCCTGAATAATGAGCTGTCCGTCTTTAGACAGGGAACACAGCACTTCCTCAGGATTCACATTTTCTGGGAGCTCAACTTCTCTCTTCCACTCTCTGTATTCATGAAAGTAGCTCCCATCCTCGCTGTCCCTTTTCTGGTCATGTTTTCCTGTCACAATCAGTCTCCTTCCTGCAGTTTTCACAGTCAGTTCATCGGGAGAGAAGGGACTCACATTCAGGCTGAGCTCAAAGTGCTCCTTCCCCTCTTTGTCAGTTTTGGGAGAGTCCTCCTCACTCTTTTTGTCCCCAGTCTGCCTGCTCTGTGCTAGTCTCCTTGTCATGTTCATGTCCTGAGAGAGGAGCTGATAAGTCTTATTCATGTGTTGCATTCTCCTCTCCATCTCGTTCCTCATGCTCAGCATGTCATCTTCCAGCTGCCCAAATATGAGCCGTGTGGCTGGCCAGAGCGTGAGTGCAGGCTCTCTGCAGACACACAGAGGAGTGTGAGAGGGCTGGAGGAGGCTGATAGGAAACATCTTCTCAGGATTTTCTCTGGAGCTTCTTGTCAGAGTTGGGCTGTAGACAATCTGTCTGTTTGTCAGTTTGTGCTGTCTTGCTTCTCAGTACTGAATGCAGTCAGAGCTGCAGCTCGCTCTTATATTGACTAGTTAAAGTACTGGAGAGTTCTTGAGATTTCCTGGTGCTCTCCATATATGGTAAGAAGGGGAGGGGCTGTGTACAGCGTGGATTCTGTAAGAGGTGTAGAGAGAGGCAGTGCTAGCAGCTTCTAGCATTAACTAGGAAGGTGACATCACTAGTGGGCGGGGTCAAAGAGTGTGTCTGTTCTGGAGACTGACAGAGAATTTGGAATGCTGTGTGTAATGTCAATATTGTACTTCAAACCACAAATTTAGAATATTACAGCAAATGGACATGGATAGAGGGTTAGGTAATGCTGCTGATGAGTTTATGGATGCACCCATATGGTTATATGGTTAGTGATGTTCACATTTCTCCATTCTGAGATAGACATAGGCGTTTCGTTTAACCTTTTCACTGCCATAGCATTTTCTAATCTAACACACCCTACAGATCAGTTGCAACTATATGTCTGGTAGGCAATAATTTGCATAAATAACTTAGACCACACAATAAACACAGACATCGTTCATTTTATTTCAATGGACTTGACCGTGGTGTTTATTAAAGCTTGAAAATGGGGCATACCACCAGTAACTTGATAACGGTAACATATCCAGGTAAACTTTTCACTTAACTTCAAAAGTTTTTACTTGACTTCAACTTTTACTTTCACCATCACTTAGTGCCAGTAGGTCATAGCTAACCTGACTGCCTTATAAATACAACCATTAAACACATATCCTTCCTCAGAACTTGAACCTGAGGATGACTTTTGCCCCAAGCTTCCAACACCACGACATAACATATAAACACATTTAACAATTAGTGGGAGGGAGGGTGGGTGTCCATCGGTGCTTCTCCCATCCTGTAGAAAAGACAGCTGACAGGGATTGCCTTGCACTGTCACCTTTTATACTTACCTGGTTTCCCGCTCTTTTTCTGGCTCACTGACAGCAACCAATCAGCCAGTTCTTGTCCCCAGCAACAGCTGTGTCACCTAATCTGCCCAGCTACTTGTCCCACTCTGCCCAACAAGATGATCAGGGGTCATGAACTTACACTGACCTATTAATCCTTTATTGCCACCATACATATATGCCACAGTGCTTAGTGCCTATGGCCTCTTTTTTTGTCATTCCATATAATTTGTAAAACTCTTTAGACAACTGAAAAGAAAAATCTAAATAGTTGTCTCTCACGTCAATTTGAACTCATTGTGAATACCAGAATGTTAAGACAAATTAATGTAACTTTGTGTAATTTTTATAAACCATACAGACAAGGCTGGGATTAAGTTAAAGTATTTTTTTTTTTTAAAATGATTAATTATATAATTATTTTTTTCACTTTGCTATTTTTTATTTCAAAAAACAATCCAAAGTCATATTAAATATAACAAAAACTAAATAGTTTTTTTTCATCAGCACAATTTCAACTTCTCATAGACACTAAAATCTAAGTAAAATTAGTTAGTGACAACATGTAATTGAATTAACTTACTTTTTAACTATTTTAATATTTAATGTTAAAAAAGCAAAAGAGGTAGATACATGTGAATGAGCACTAAAGCTGACAAAAAAATGTTTTTGTATCCCCCCTCCTGCTTATCTATTTGCAGGGAGTGAGTTATAATGAGTTATTCCTTGGTGGTCCACGTCAGTATCCAATAGTATCCCTTGCGGTCCAGTGAAGGAAGCGTCTGGTATGCACCTTCAGCTGGCTCAGACCACAATATACACACTTCCAGCTAGCACTCAGTGAATGAGCCTGGACGTTGCCATGGTAACCTGTCAACAGTGCTCTGATTCATTTACTGAGTGTACCGACCGTGAGGGAGTGTTCAAAGTAGTCTGCACCAGCCATAGGTGCAGACCACACTAGCTCTAGAAAGATTTGTCTGATACCTAATAGATTTCCAAATAAGTGGCATACTAAGTAGCAGTTTTGTAAACAGAAACCCTCACCCATTCCCCCTGACAGGTGACATCCAGGGAGTGGTCGCTACCCCGACTCTTGAGACCCTGGCAGTTCCGCCTGAGTTTTTGAATGTGCAGATTGTTGCTCTTAACTGGTTTATGTTTTCAAAATAGAAAACAAAAAAATGTAAAATTATAGTCTTTAATCTTTTAGTACAACTCCCCCCGCCCCCCAAAACATAAAAACATGACCTGCCTGCGCACTAGCCCAAATCCCAATGTAAATAACAGTTTTTATTCCTACTGCAATGGTTATTAATGTGTAAGTGCACCTGCTTTGTTAAGATAAACCTCTTAGGTGAGTCTCACACTAACAATTCACCTTGCTGCTTTCTGCTAAAAGGCAAAATCTCTAATGTGCCAGAAAGGAGTATTTTTATGAGCCCCTTTACACTTATTAACTATTAATATGGTAAGTTTAATTTTTGTTTTATTGCGGTCTGTATGTATTTGGGTTGAAGAACACTGTATCCATGGAACCCATTTACAAGCAGTGAGAGTTTGAG